ATGCATTTTAGCCAGAAGAATCTTGAATCGGTTTTTTTTTTAAATTGGTGTTGATCGCCAAAACTATTCGAAGAGGCGAAAGTCGAAAGATTAAATCAAAAGTCAATAGTCAAACATCAAAACTAGTTCGACTTATGGCGAAGCCTTTTGACTTTCACGATTCTCTAGTTTTGGAAATCAACACTGGTTAAAAATAACAAATCGTTCCACTTTAATTGTAAATCTTTTGTTTCAGTAGGTGAAATGAAGCCACATTCACATTATCGACTAAATGCAAGAGAATGGTAAGTAAAAGTGAAACACGAGTAAATTGATTTACTAACTATTAAAATGTTTGTAATTATAATTTATTGTCATCATAATTAACATATATTTGCTTTAATGTTATTATTATCTCTATTATTATTATTATTATTATTATTATATTTTGCTAACCGCTAACACGACGGAAACCATTTCTTTTTCCATCTTGGTGACGATGTTCATGATTATTGTCATTATCATTACCATTATCTCTGCTTTCTCTATTATTATCATGATTATCATATTTTTGATGTTGATGTGGCACTGATTTTCTTTGAGGTTTAGAGGTGGGTACAGAAATAATTGTCACGTGTCCCTTAGTGTCAGCTAAAGCATCATTTTTCCATTTATCGAGATCGTTGGCGGCTAAACGTGCCCACGTTTTTTTGACTGGGGGGGAGGTTGATTGTTGTTGTTGTATGTTATTTTTTATGGTTTCTGTTGAATTTAATGATTTGATATTATTGTCATTATTGTTGTGATTATGATTATCAGTTTTGTCAGTAGCAGCTTGGACAGGTTGTTCAATCTGTATGTCGTTATTTTTTTTACTACTAGCAGAAGCAGCAGTTTCTGTACTGATTTTTTTTTCTAATGTAACAGGTTCATTTTGAACATTATTATCGTTGGCATTAGAAGCAGTTGTTTGTTCGTCATTATTAAATTGAGCAGGAATTTCAGCTGTAATTTGAGTGATGGTTTGACCCTTATTAGGCTTTTGTTGAATAGAAGAAGTTGTTTTAGCATTTATTAATGAATAATCTTGAGTTTGAGCAGATTTCTGATTGGGAGAGACAGCTTGATGATCATTTATAACAGGCGAGGGTTGTTTTTTGATGAACGGTTGTTGTAGTTTTTGAGATTTTTGTTGTGATAACAATTTATTATCTCTTTGAGCAATATCGAGTGTAGGAGAAGTTTGAGGTTTAGTAATTGATTTGGTGATAGTAAATGGATGATTAGCATGTTGTTCTACTGTTGCTAAATGACCATTTGTGACAACAGGCGGCGATGTTGAAGGTTTTACGACAGGTGATTTAGAAACTTGATTATTAGTGGTGCCGATAAGATTAATTTGATCAACTGGAGTTTCTGCTACTGATAATTGATTGTTATTATTGTTAGGTTGGGCGACATTTTCTTGATTAACAATGTGATTTTTTTCTGATGTAGAATTACCATTTATTACAACGGATGAAGGTGTTGTTGAAGGATGTGCAACAAGAGAATTAACATCTTGATTGTTGAGATTAGTTTGCAAATTAGTATGATTAATTTGATCAGCTAAAGTTCCTGCTACTGATTTGGTAACATTTGTAGTAACAGATGGTGATGATGTACCAACAGGAGAATTAGTATTAGAATGAGTAATTTCTGATTTTTTAGTGACAGAAATGGAGGCAATGGCAGATCCTTCAGTGATAGAATCAAGAGTACCTTTATGAGTAGTAGTGATGGCAATAGATTCTTCAGAGACATTAGTTTTATTGATAGGCTCTTCCAAGACATTAGGTTTAATATTAACAAGTTCTTTTGAGATATTAGATTTAATACTGGTAGAATCTTCAGAGACATTGAGTTTATTATTAATATGCTCTGAGCCGTTAGTTTTAATATTGGCGATGATATGTTCGTTGACCAAAGTTTCTGTGGGAGATGCTGAATAAGAATCATCATCTTTGGCGAGTTTTTGTGAAGCAGAAGTTTTAACATCTAAACAAATATTATCATTATCATTGTTTACAATTTCATCAACTGCATCTTTATCAAATTCGCTGTTCTCATCCTCTTCGTCATCATCATTTAAGAATCTAATAATATCATTTAAAACATAATATCCGTTGGGTTGTGTTGCAAGGAAAAATGTCTGAGCAAATTTTCTAGGCGGCTCATCATGATTACTCATCAATCCCAAGACTTGAATAAGAATTCCATCATCTTTTGAAGCTTGACAATCGACATTTGTCACAGCAACCTTACAATTATTAAAATTTAATGATTTAATTTTCTCGTTGATTTCCTGTTATTTATGAAAAGAAATGTTTATTAATATTTGTGTATTCCTTAAAAAATTATTCGACATGTTCATCTTCTTTATGTTAGAATTATAACATTAAATATTATTAAAGAATCTCAATTTTTAATTCAAATGTAAATATATAAATATGTACATAAACTAAATCGTAACAAGTTTTATTTTAATAAATATATGGTATATTTAAGTATTAATTAAACACCAACCTTTTCACCAATCAGAGTTCTTACTTGTTCACCCTCACTTCCATGAATAAAATGAGAAGCTTGACCGTAAAAACAATGAAGTCGATTGGGTTCTTTATGTAAAAAGGTGTAATATTCTTGAACAAATATCCAACCAACTTCACTAATGTCACGAGGAGTAGTACGTGAAGTTTTAACTTTTTCATTATTAGTAAGAGATTCTACAGTAGCAACAATAGATGCGCAGTTGGTTAAATCTGCCATATTATTACGATTTGTAAAAAAAATCAGGAAATTTCAAATATGGGACGAACAAAACCCAACAAGGTGAACATTATGTCACAAAGAATTTTCAGGGTTCAAAATTTGGCAAATTTTGCAATTCCATTTATTTATTTGTTTCTTGTTCTATAATAAGTTTTTAATTACCAGATAGAATAATTGGCATAATTAATATTAGATAAGCTGGGGTTGTTTTCAGAGTTCCTTTTTTTCTCTATATTTTCCTAGCAGGTTTCTTTAATTTCTGAAAAATTTGCTTGTTCAATACCAGTCATTTTGCCTATTAAATGTTAATTCGCAAATAATATAGTGCAGGACATCTATAACGGTCAATGATTATCACATGATTTTAAAAGCTTATAACTCCTTATTAAAAAAATTA